CCCATTAACTCACCTATTTGGCCTGTGCAAAATACAGATGGTTCTTGGAGAATGACAGTGGATTATTGAAAACTTAACCAGGTGGTGACTCCAATTGCAGCTGCTGTTCCAGATGTAGTTTCACTGCTCGAGCAAATTAACATATCTCCTGGTCCGTGATATGCAGCTATTGATCTGGCATAATGCCTTTTTTTCCATTCATGTTTTGAAGGACCACTAGAATCAGTTTGTCTTCAGCTGGCAATGCAAACAATATACCCTCACTGTCCTACCTCAGAGGTATATCAACTCTACAGTTCTATGTCATAATTTAGTCCTCTGGGACCTTGATTGCCTCTCCCTTCCACAAGATGTTACACTGGTCCATTACATAGATGACATTATGTGGATTGGACCTAGTAAGGAAGAAGTGTCAATGATTCTAGACTTATTGGTAAGACATTTGCTTGCTACCCCTTGCCATCGAGTTGATTCCAGCTCATAGTGACCCTATAGGACAGAGTAGAACTGCCCCATATAGTTTCTAAGGAGTGGCTGGTGGGTTTGAACTGTCGACCTTTTGGTGAGCAGCTGCAGCTCTTAACCACTGCACCACATGGGCTCCTTTGCTTGCTAAAGGGTGGTAAATTAACCAAAAAAAAAAAAAAAAAATTCAGGTACCTTTCACCTCAGTGAAATTTCTAGGGGTCCAGTGGTGTGGGGTATGTTGAGGTATTCTTTCTAAAGTAAAGGATATATTGTTGCATGTGGCCCCTCTTACGACTAAAAAGGAGGCACAGTGCCTGATGTGCCTCTTTGGATTTTGGAGGCAGCATATCCCCTATTTGGGTGTGCAGCTCCAGCCTATTTATCAAGTGACTTGAAAAGCTACTAGTTCTGAGTGGGGCCCAGAACAAGAGAAGGATCTGCAACAGGTTCAGTCTGCCATGCAAGGCACTCTGCCACTTGGGCTATATGATCCAGCTGATCCAATGGTGCTTGAAGTGCCAGTGGTAGATAGAGATGCTGTTTGGAGTCTTTGACAAACCCCTATTGGTGTATCATAGCACAGATTGTTAGGATTTTGGAGCAAAGCCCTGCCATCCTTTGCAGATAACTACTCTCCTTTTGAGAAACAGCTTTTGGCTTGTTACTGGGCCTTGGTAGAGAATGAACACTTAACTGTGGGCCACCAAGTCACCATGCAGCCTAAGCTGCCTATTACAAACTGGCTGTTGTCTGACCCACAGAGTCATAAAGTTGGACGTGCAGAGCAGCACTCCATCATTAAATGGAAGTGATTGAGCCAGAGCAGGACCTAAAGGCACAAGTAAGTTGCATGAAGAAGTAGCCCAAATGCCCATGTTCTCCACTCCTGTCACAATACCTGCCCTCTCCTAGTCTGCACCTATGGCCTTATGGAGTTCCTTTCAATCAGTTGACTGAGGAACAGAAAATTCATCTCTGGTTTACAGATGATTCTGCACAATACTCAGGCACCACTCTAAAGTGAACAGCAGCAGCACTACAACCCCTTTCTGGGATCTCCCTGAAGGACAGTGGTGAAGGGAAATCCTCCCAATGGGCAGAACTTGGAGCAGTGCACCTGGCTGTTCACTTCACTTGGAAAGAGAAATGACAAGATGTGTGATTGCATTCTGATTCATGGTCTGTGGCCAATGGTTTGACTGAATGGTCAGGGACTTGGAAGGAACATGATTGGAAAATAGGTGACAAGGAGGTATGGGGAAAAGGTATGTGGATAGACATCTCTGAATGGACCAAAGAAGCGAAGATATTTGTGTCTCATGTGAATGTTCACCAAAAGGCGACCTCGGCAGAGGAGGAGTTTAACAATCAGGTGAATAGGATGATGCGTTCTGTGGAAGCCAGTTATCCTCTCTCCCCAGCCCCTCCTGTCATTGCCCAATGGGCTCGTGAAAAAAGTGGCTGTGGTAACAGGGATGGAAGTTATGCAAAGACTCAGCAACATGGACTTCCACTCACCAAGGCCAACTTGGCTACAGCCACTGCTGAGTGTCCAATCTGCCAGCAGCAGAGACCAACACTAAGTCCCTGATATGGCACCATCCCTCGAGGTGATTAGCCAGCAACCTGGTGGCAGGTTGATTACATTGGACTGCTTCCATCATGGAAAGGGCAGAGTTTTTTTCTTACTGGGATAGACACTTACTCTGGATACAGTTTTACCTTCCTTGCATGCAATGCTTCTGCCAAAACTACCATCTGTAGACTCACAGGATGCCTTATCCACTGTCATTATATCCTACACAGCATCACCTTGGATCAAGGGACTCACTTCACAGAAACTGAAGTATGGCAATGGGCCTGTGCTCATGGAATTCACTGGTCTTATCATGTTACCCATCATCCTGAGGCAGCTGGCTTGATAGAACAATGGAATGGCCTTCTAAAGACACAGTTATGGCACCAGCTAGATGGCAATACCTTGCAGTGTTGGGGCAATATTCTTCAGGAGGTTGTATATTCTCTAAACCAGCGTCCAATATATGGTGTTGTTTTTCCCATAGCCAGGATTCATGGGTCCAGGAATCAAGGGGTGGAAATGGGAGTGGCACCACTCACTATTATCCCTAGTGACCCACTGGCAAAATTTTTGCTTCTGTGCCCACAACCCTATGCTCTGCAGATCTAGAGGTCCTAGTTTGAAAGGGAGGACTGCTCCCACCTGGAGACACATCACTGATTTCATTGAACTGGAAGTTAAGTTAAGAATGTCACCCGGCCACTTTAGGCTCCTCATGCCTCTGGATCAACTGGCAAAGAAGAGAGTTACCATATTGGCTGGCGTGACTGATCCTGATTACCAAGAGGAAATCAAATTGATATTACATAAAGGAGGTCAAGAAGGGTATGTCTGGAATACAGGAGATCCCTTAGGGCATCTCTTAGTACTACCATGTCCTGTGATTAAAGTCAATGGAAAACCACAGCAACCCACTTCCGACATGACAGCTAATGGCCCCGACCCTTCAGGAATGAAGGTTTGGGTCACCCTACCAGGCAAAGGACCACAACCAGCTGAGGTGCTTGCTGAGGGTAAAGGGAATACGGAATAGGGTGGAAGAAGGTAGTTCTAAATACCAGCTACAGCCACGTAACCAGTTGCAGAAACAAGGAGTGTAATTGTTATAGTATTTCTTCCTTGTATGTGTGCATCAAATATTTTTGTTTTCTTCACTTATAAAATATAAGATGTAAACGGGGCTAGTGTGTTTCCAGTTGTACACATGTTAGTTATATCTCATTACACAGAAGTATGACTTTCTAATTGTCTTTATTTAGAGATTGTGTGTGATTTAAGGAGACATGTACAGATGCCAAGTTGACAAGGGGTGGACTCTGATGGTAAAGGTTGTGTGTCAACTTGGCTGGGCCATGATTCTCAGTGGTTTGGCAGTTATGATGTAATTTGGCAGTTATGTAATGATGTAATCAACTCCATGATGAGATCTGCTATGAGCAGCCAATCAGTTAAAAGGAAGTTGCCTTGGGAGTGTGGCCTGTCTCCAGTATATACATACATGTTCCAGCAAGGCTCTTGCTCTGGAAACTGCATCTGGCTCACCATCATCTGACATCTGGTCCTTGGGACTTGAGCTAGCAGCTTTCCTGCCAAGCTTGAGATTCGTTGGCCTCCGAAGCCTATAAGCCAGTGACTTGCCATCTGACCTGCCGATCTTGGGTTCATCAACCCCTGTGGCTATCTGAGTCAGAAGAAGCCTCCAGCCTGATGCCTGACCCACGGACTTAGGACTTGCCAGCCTCTGCAACTGTGTGAGCCATTTCCTTGAGATAAATCTCTCTCTCTCTCTCTCTGTGTGTGTGTGTAGATTGATATACTTCACTTGTTTTGCTTCTCTAGAGAACCCAGCCTAAGATGGGGGGAAAGGGGAAATGAGGCATTATTGCTTAAGGGGTACTGAGTTTCTGTTTGGGTGATAAAAAAAAAATTTGGAAATGGACGGTTGCACAGCATGCTGAAAGTGATTAAGTCATTGAATTGTATGCTTAAGATTTTATGTGATATATGTTCTACCACACACACACACACAAAAAAAAAAAAAAAAAAAAAACCCAGGGCTTTTCATTTGGATTTTACAAAAGGAGATGTAAGCTGATGAAGACTGATGAAGCTGGATATTACTAAAAGAATCTGGAAGTATTTACATCACATGTTAACAGTGGAGATCCCTGGTTGGTGAAGTTTAGGAATGATTTTCATTTTCTTTATATCTTTCCATATTTTCTGAATTTGAGGGAAGATCTATACATTAATTTTATAATCAGAAAAAATTAAAGCTGTTTTAAAAACCACCCATGCATTTCAGCACATCTTCATGGAACCTTTGTTTGTTGTCCAAATCAGTGCTGGGTCCCAAGGATGCACAATAAAGGGTCCTCCAGGAATGGGCTGGAAACAAGACCCCTGAACAATACTAGAAGGATGCAAGATAGTGTAGAGATGGGCTCCAATGACACCTCCGAGCCCGGGGGTGGGCAGGAACAGTCCCCCGGGAGAAGAGGCGTTCATAGGACCTTCAGGGTCTGGCCCCAGCAGGAGCCTGGAGAGGGCGTTCCAGGTCAGGGCACAGCGGGAGCCAGGGCAGAAAGGCACCGGCCAGCACTGGGCACATGATGGGAAGGCATGGATGAGTGGACGTCTCTCTCCCTGAGTGGGTTAAACTTTGACTGAGGAAATGATTACTAAACCCTATTCCATGAGTAACACCTGGTCACAGTTTAATTCCAGTCTGGGTGACCTCGGTCTCCAATTTCTCCAGTTCCCAAATTTAGCTTTTCTAGGATGTACCAGAGTGGAGTCTCTGGGAGATGTCAGTGGCCTCTGGTCTCGTTCAAGCTGCCCCCAGTGACAGTGCTGGGCAGTGGCTCTGGGTCAGTAAGGCAGGTAGCTCCTGACATGCTCCAGGCTGCCCTCTAGGAAGTGGGTACCTCCTTTGGATCCCCTAGGAGGCCCCATGGCGTTTGCTGAACTCCTGGACCAAGTGGGCAGCCAGGGCAGGTTCCAGGTTCTCCAGACAGTGGCTCTGCTGGTCCCCATCATAGCGGTTACCACGCACAGCATGCTAGAGAACTTCTCAGGAGCCGTCCCCAACCACCGCTGCTGGGTGCCCCTCCTGGACAACAGCACAGCCCAGGCCAGTGTCCCCAGGACCCTGAGCCCTGAGGCTCTGCTGACCATCTCCATCCCACCTGGCCCCAACCAAGAGCCCCACCAGTGTCGCCGCTTCCGCCACCCACAGTGGCAGCTTCTGGACCCCAATGCCACGTCTGCCAACTAGAGCAAGGCTGCAACAGAGCCATGCGTGGATGGCTGGGTCTACAACCGTAGCACCTTCACTTCCACCATTGTGACCCAGGTAAGGGCCCCTCCTCACCATATACACACACCCTGAGTCCTGACACCTTAGAGGTCAAAATCACAGGTCACAGTTGGCTGGCCTCAAAATGGCTGAGTCCGGGGAATGGGCGTCTAGCCACTCCTCAGTCCCACCATCCTACAAGGTAATGTAGAACCCAGCTGGTCTGTGAAGACTGTCTCTGGGGCTGGGGCTGGGGCTGGGCACGGCCAGCAAGGGGTCCGGGTGCAAGCATTAAGGAGGTGGGCTTGCGGGGGTGCTGGGTGGGCCTGAGCACCCCCTTAACATTTGCACCTGGGCCTTTGCTGGCCTCCCTTCGGCCTGGTCCTGCCCACACCTACCAGCTGTGACTGCAGGCAGCTTACTCCACCTGGCCCAGCCCGTTTTACCTGCCTGTCAAATAGGGACTCAGGTGAGGGTCTGCAGATCACGGGGGCCCTAGGCTGGGTGCTGGAGACAGCGTGGATGAGATGTGGTCTTCCTCCCTGTCTAACAGGGAGCTGGGCCCACCCACAGCCTCCCTGAGGACCTGGGAGCAGCAAGTGAAGCAACCAGCCGGGGCTGGGGCATTCCAGGTGGCTTACCAGAGGAGAAGGGGCACTAGGCCAATCTGGAAGGCAGGGAGGGGCAGCTCGTCCCAGCAAGCATGAAGGGGACTCTGTAAAGAACAGAGGGAAGGTTTGGGGAATGCCAGCTCAGGGTGGTGGCTGCAGAGTGGGCAAGGCCTAGAGAGGGCTTGACCCGTGACCCACTGGGCAATAGGGAGCCATGGAAGGGCTTACGCAAGGGGTGACTGGAAACCTCTCACAAGGCAAAGCAACACCCGTGAGTGCCTTCACTGTTCCACAGGGCCCTAGACAACCCTAGAGGCACCAGGTCAGCTGCCCACAGCCCCATTTAATTCCTCTGTCCCCTCCTGGCTCCTGAGCTCAGCTCTCTCCTCTCCTCTCCCTTCCAGTGGGACCTGGTGTGTGACTCACAAGCCCTGAAGCCTATGGCCCAGTCCATCTACATGGCTGGTAGCCTGGTGGGAGCTGCCGTGCGTGGTCAAACCTCAGACAGGTGAGTGCCACCTGGTCCCTGCAGGCCCCCATCCCATTGCCATCACTGCAGCTCTAGGCCTCTGACCTGACCAGCCCCTGACCCACACCTCCCTTGCAGCCAACCCTAGGGAGAAAACTGCGTGTATCCAGAATGTCTAGGTGTTGACCTCAGTCCTGCCACGTAGCTGTGCCACCTTGGGCAAGGCTGTGCCCTCTCTGAGCCTCAGTTTCACAGACTCTACTCTCGGGTTTTGAGGGTCATTGCTTCCCATCAACCAATCATTCCTGAAACCTGCTCTGCCACACACCTGTTTGAGTCCTCCTGAAGACAGGGAACTCATCCCCTGCTGAGAGTGGCTCTCTTCCTGCTCGGACTCAGGGATACACTTCTTTATGCTCACGAGCCTTCCCCGGGCAGAGAATGAGGGTCTGGCCTGAGGTGTCTTGTTGACATCCACCTCAACTCAGTGGGCAGCGAAGGGTGGGCTCTCAGGGGTCTTATCCCCCGTGCCGGGTGCCATGGCACACCGCTGACCTGGCTGCCGACCCTGGCCGTCCTCCTGGTATGTGTCACAGGTTTGGGCGCAGGCTGGTGCTGACCTGGAGCTACCTTCAGCTGGCCGTGGTGGGCACCGCAGCCGGCTTCGCCCCCACCTTCCCTGTGTACTGCCTGCTCCGCTTCCTGGTGGCCTTTGCTGTGGCGGGCATCCTGATGAACACAGCCACACTCCGTAAGTCCCCTGACCTGCAGCCCTTCAAGAGAAGGTCTGCACAAGGCTGACCTGCTCCTGTCTCCTTGCAGTGATGGAGTGGATGTCAGCAGCAGGCCGCCCCTTGGTGATGACCTTGAACTCCCTGGGCTTCAGCTTCGGCCAAGTCCTGATGGCCGCTGTGGCCTATGGTGTGCGCGACTGGGCCATGCTGCAGCTAACGGTTTCCGCCCCCTTCTTCCTCAGCTTTGTGTACTCCTGGTGGGTGCCTCGGCCAGTCCCTCCTCCCAATTAGAAGGCGGACGCTCCCACCCTGGTGACCGCGTCCACACCCAGGGCTCTAACTCCATCCAAAGGCTGCCAGACCCCAAATCTCCACTGCAGCCCTGATCCTGCCCGACCTGCAGCCTCATGTCCCTAACCGCCTGCGGGACCCTTCCGTGTGGTCTCAGACTCACAAACCTAACACCTCCTTACAACTGTTCCTGCCCCAGGCTTCCACAACTTGGAGGGCACCCCCACCCACCTAGGTACTGGGCTCAGAGCCACCATGACATCTCCCTCCCTTCCCACCCCCCAAGTCCACTCAGTCACCAGATCTTGTCAACTGTACCTCTGATGTGTCCCTTGAATCTCCCGTTTTCTCCCCTGCAAACCCCAAGGACCCAAGGGCCCCAGGTGGGTGGGAAACAGGTGGCCCCACCCCGGCCATTCTCCCAGAGGCCTGAAGTCAGAGACGGTGTGGGCACTAAGGGGGCTAAGCAGGCTGGGGGCCCATGCGGAGGGCAGGCTAGATGTTGACGGCAGTGGGGGCCAGGTTGGTGTTACGGGGCTCGGGGGCAGGGGATGGTGTGCAGGGGGCAGACTCACATCCAGGCAGGAGATGAAAGGGTCAAGTGTGAGGCTGGGCAGTGACCTCTTCGTCTCCCCAGGTGGCTGGCAGAGTCGGCACGCTGGCTCCTCATCACAGGCAGGGTGGCCCAGGGCCTGCGGGAGCTGCAGAGGGTGGCTGACATCAACAGGAAGAGGGCAGTGGGGGAGGCACTGACCACTGAGGTGAGGCTGGCTGGGCCTCCCCCAGGGCTAGACTCTCACCCTCTCCCTGTCCCACACAGGACCACCTGAGAGACAGCTGCAGCTCCCAACCCAGGGCTTGGCTCCCAGGGAGGAGGGCATCAGGGAGGTGGAACCACCTGGGCATCTCCAGTGCTAACAGTAGCCCCCTCCCTGCAGGTCTTGCTCTCAGCCATGCAGGAGGAGCTGAGAATGGGCCAGGCTCCGGCCAGCATGGGTACCCTGCTCCGCATGCCCGGACTGCGCCAACGCACCTGCCTCTCCATACTGTGCTGGTAGATGCTCTGTCAACACCCCACCCTACCCGCACCCGGCCTCGGCCTCGGCCCACCCCCGGGGCTGCCGGCAGCTGGGAAGCTGGAATCAGGGCTCTGGGGGCATCCGGCCAGTGGCCCTCTACTGCCTCCCCTGGCGGCCCCACTGGCCTGAGAGTGACTCAGGAACGAGACCCAAAGCCCAGCCACTTCCCCTTTCTGTCAGCGAGGCTCCCGTCACAGCCCACACCAGGAGGGCTTAGTAAGAGGAGTTTAATAAAGGAGATTTTCAACTATCCCTTACACCTTTGTTACAAATCCTCTTTATTAAAATTTCTTCTGTAGAATCTCTCCCTTATTAAATTCCCCAACACAGAAAAGGGAAGGGAGAAATTCCCTGGCTTCTCCCCTTGTCCCACCTCCAGCATCTCACCAGAGCCTCCCATTGGCCAAACCAAACTGAAAGCCACATTGCTAGGGAACCTGGGAAATGTAGTCCGAAGAGATCATTCCCCACACCCCATACAAAGCCCACTAGGAGAAGAGCAGGCAGTAATCAGATCTGAGAAGAAATGGCACATGACCAGCCCACTCCCCAGCCTGACTCCACTTGCCCCCAGGTTTGCTTTTGGCTTCACCTTCTATGGCCTGGCCCTGGACCTGCAGGCCCTAGGCAGCAACGTCTTCCTGCTCCAGGTCCTCATTGGAGTGGTCGACATCCCAGCCAAGACAGGCACCCTGCTACTGCTGAGCCACCTGGGCCGCCGACACACACAGGCTTTGTCCCTGGTGCTGGCCGGGGTCTGCATCCTGGCCAACACAGTGGTGCCCCATGGTGAGTGGAGGGGCAGAGGTGGGGCATCAGGGGGCAGAGCTTCCCTTCCTGGGGGCCTGAGCCAGGAACAGAGACCCTTAGTCCTCCCTTTGGAGAGTGGGGAAGGGGGGAGTGGAAGGGACAGGTGGGAAGGAGGCTGCTGTGGTGTCTAGGGAGAGACAATGGTGCTCTGTGCTCAGGCAGTGAGAGGTCGGATGCGGGGGTGGGCAGCATTGCGAAAAATTGTGAGAATTTAGTAATGGATTGCAGGAGGAGGTGGAGGGGGAAAGAGAAGGAGGGGTGAAACCTCTGAATGACAGTGGGGAGCAGACTGGGGAGGACGGTGTGCTCATGAGGTCATTTAGGACATGGCGCATTTGTGGGGCCTGGGTGCAATGGTTAAGTGCTTAGCTGCTAAACGAAAGGTTGACGGTTCGAATCCTCAGGAGAAAAGAACTAGCAATCTGCTCCAGGAAAAATTAACCAAAAACCAAACCCCTTGCCCTTGAGTCAATTCCGATTCATAGGGACCCTACAGGACAGAGTAGAACTGCCCCGTAGGATTTCCAAGGCTGTAATCTTTACAGAAGCAGACTGCCACATCTTTCTCCCACAGAGCGGCTGGTGAGTTCAAACCACCGACTTTTCGGTTCACATCCAAGCGCTTTAACCACTGTGCCATCAGGGCTCCTTCTGTAAAGATTACAGCCTAGGAAATCCTATGGGGCAGTTCTACTCTGTCCTATAGGAGAGCTACGAGTCGGAATCGACTCGACGGCACACAACAACAGCAACGGGGACCCCAGGTGGAGGTGAATCAGAGACGTTTGGAGAGACAGGCCTGGAGCCCCCCAAGCCCGGCATCTGACCCTGGCCCCATCACCCACCCCACTAACCCTACCTCTCTCCACAGAGATGGAGGCTCTGCGCTCAGCCCTGGCCGTGCTGGGGCTCAGTGGGGTGGGGGCTGTCTTCACCTGCATCACCATCTACAGTGGCGAGCTCTTCCCCACCACGCTCAGGTGAGGGGGGCCAGGGCCCGAGAGGGGCACCCTGGGTTGTGCGTGGTGGCCTTCCAGGGGCAGGCAGGCTGGGGTGGCCTTTCCCCAGGCCCGATGTCCAGACATGAGTCTCCCTTCCCTGTGGTCTCAGGGCTGCCCAGGTGCTCCTGGTCCAGCCTGACCTGAGGCGTCTCCCTGGGCTGGCAGGGCAAGGCCACATGGGCAGAGCAGTCACTCAGGCCCATCTGTGCTGGCAGGATGACCGCGGTGGGCCTGGGCCAGATGGCAGCCCGTGGGGGGGCCATCCTGGGGCCCCTGGTCCGGCTACTGGGCGTGTACAGCCCCTCAATACCCCTGCTGGTGTATGGGGTGGTAGCAGTGCTGACCGGCCTGGCCGCGCTGCTGCTGCCCGAGACCCGGAGCCTGCCACTGCCCGACACCATCCAGGATGTGCAGCGCCCGTGAGTGGACCAGCCTGGGACCCCTCCCTCCCACCAGAGAGCCACAGAGCAGGGCCGGCCTGGACAGAGGGGGTGGCAGAGGCCCAGAAAGGGGTAGGGCTGATCTGAAGTCACACAGCACACCTTTGGGAGGGTGGAGACTAAGGCTGTGGTTATCCTAACCACAAAGGGCCAGCTCCAGCGAGCTCCGCTGAGAGTGGCCAAGGGGAGGAGAGTGGTTGCCCCCGTGAGGTGGAGCACCGGGCTGCCTTGGCCGTTGTTGGGAGTCCTTAGAGAATACAGAATACCAGGAAAGCCCCCAGATGGCTAACAGGGGCTCAGTCAATGTCCCCCAGCACGTGCTTTGGGACACTTGGTCCTGGGTTCCCAAGAGAGTCCTCAGGACGAACACGGGTCACAGGTCAGGGGGCGTTGTCACCCCCACACCTCCCTTCCATGTCTTTCCTGAACAGGGCAGTGAAGAAAGCAGCCGACAGCACACAGGACCACCCTGTCCTGAAATCCACGCGGTTTTAGGTCCCCGCCATGGGGCCGTGGAGGAGGTGGAGAAGGCAGGAGAGCAGAGGCCTTGATATCCAGGGACAGGGGCTGACTCCGGGTCCTCGCTCCCCTCTCAGGACTGCCCCCTCACCTTCCGAGGAGCCGCCTTCCGCATAGAAGGGACGGGGGTGGTGTGACTGGCAGGGAGGCTGCCCCATGGGTGCCACCCTGGGAGGGCAACCACATTCTGGGGGGCCTGCCCTGCCGGCCCTGTGCTCACCTCACTGCCCCTGCCGTCCACCTGCCACCAAGCTCAGAGGCACAAGGAAGGGAGTCTCCGCTCCTCAGCTTCCTCCGGAAAGCACTGAACCCTGATCCGCTGTGGCCCCTCCCTTCCCTGCTCTCCACACTCCAGGCACACAGCCAGTCCCCGTGGCGCATCTTCCCCTGGAGCCCCCTCCCCACCTTCTCTGCTTGACCAACTCCAGCTCGGCCTCCCAGACCCAGGCCAATGGTCCTCCCTCCCGGGGCCCAGGGCCAGGCACCTGTCCTCCCCCAGCAGCCTGTGAGTTCCCAGAGGGCAGGGGAGGCCCTAGGATCCCACGTCCCGGCTCCCAGCACCCAGGGAGATGAGGGAGTGAATAAAGGAGCCAGTGAATTACAGCCGCCTCACTGACTCCAGGTGAGCTTCCTGCGTCTGCAGGCTGCAGTAAGGAGGACGCCGGCACTCCTCTTGGGAAGACCTTTCCCCACAGCTGTGAAGGGCAGGAGGCCAGCTTCCTGAGCACCGGTCAGAGGCCCTGCTGTTCCCAGCACTTGATGTGGGCACCACAAAGGCATCATTTCGTCTCATCAAGTAGATGGTGTCCCCATTTTACAGATGGGGAAACTAAGGCCCAGAGAAATTGATTGCTTATGTCACACAGCTGGGAGAGGGCAGGATCAGGCTTCAGCCCTGGGCTGTAGGTCTCCAGAGCCTGGCTCCGGCCACAGTCCCTAGCCGACCCTCAGGCCCCACTATCTGGACCCTCAGTGACGCTTCTCGAGGGCAGGGCCAGGGCCGCCTCCTCCTGCTCAGAACCAGCTGGGACTGTGGGGTCCACTGGCTCGGCTCACGGGGAAGCGCAGTACAGGGGCTCAGGGGGGATGGGGCGGCCCCAAGCTCCCCTGGCCATGCTGATGCAGATGTGGTCCAGGCAGGAGCCATCAGCTGCCCAGCCGGGGCCACCACCAGCCGCCCACCCTAAGCTGTGCTCAGGGGGTTGCTGCATCCGCCTGGGGCTGCTTCCAGGCACCTGCAGCAGAGGGCTGTGCTCCTCCCCCACACACCAGTGATGCATCCACACACATGCACACGCAGACACATGCACACGGGCGCATGCATACACGCAGGTGCACACATGCACATGGGGGCAGACACACACGTGCACACTCGCAGAAGGTCAACCAGAAACTCCAGGGAAATAGAAAGCAGCTCCTTGTACCCCGGAGACCCAGATCACTCCCTAGCTGGATCTTATCAGCTGCAGCCCCTTCCCTTCCTTTTCCATCTCCAGAAGGGCCTCTGGGAGAAGTGTCCCCAAGCCACTTACCTATGGCCACTCCTCAGGGAAGACCCCAGGATGAAAGGGAGTGGGGTAGGGATCATGCTGGTAAAGATCCCCAAAGATGACGTTGTCCCTGCCTTCCCTGGACTTTCCACCCATCTGTCTGTCTGCTGCCCAGCTGAGCCCCAAGCTGCCTTTCTCATGCTTGCTTAACATTCTTGGGGCCCCAGGGTGCCCAGAAGCTTGCAGAAGGCAGGACCCAGGACTAGGGCTGGATGGTTCCTCCTCTCCCCTGGAATGTCTCTCCAGCTCGCCAAGTGGTTGCTTCAGAGTGAACTCGCTCCTCCGGCCTCACTGTTCAGTTAGGTACACTCGCCCGGGACCCAAGGTCTGTCTGCTTTCAACGTTGTCATCCCTCCATAACTGAACAAGGACTGGAAGCTGGGAGGGCCCAGGGCCTGTGCCTCTGGGGCTGCTGGGCACGGCTCCCAGAGGCCCTGGGGGATGAGTGGCATCAAGGTGGCTGAGTGGGCCCTGAAAGGGACAAGGGGCACCCTCAGCAGCAGCTGGAGGCCTGCATCCTGGCTGGGTGCTGCCCGCAGGGCCCGCCTTTACTTGGGACAGCCTCTCTTGATGGCCACCACCGGGGGCTCCTGACCTCAGAAGCTGCCAGAGCACCCCCAGTAAGGGGCTAAAGGTTCTGGGAGGGAAAGAAGTACGCATCAACACCCCCCATACACAGTCTCATCCCCATGGCGACAGAGGCCTCGGGCAGCAGGGACTAAAGAAAAGGGCTCAGGACCCACTCTGTCCGTCTCCTGCTCTGGCCAGGCCTGCGGCTCACCCAGGAGGATGTGGAGTGGCGCAATGGCAGCTCGTCACCAGCACAGGGACAGGACGTCCTGACAAGACTCCAGGGGGGGCTTCCCCAGAAGCCCCTGCAGCTGGCTGGGCAGGTGTTCCTTCCCCTGGGGGCGTGGCCAGGGCAGGTCTTCCATGGCTATGGGCATCAGCCAGACTTCCCTGTGACCCTCTCTTCCGACCCCCTGTCCTTGGTCCCCCACCCGAGGTGGAGTCTCCTGAGACATCCCTGCGAGTACCAATTGCCAGGCAGGCCGCGTGCCTGGAACTATAGCCACCCCAGATGCTGTTTGGGAGTCTGGGCGGGTGCGGGAGGGGTCACTGTGAAGCCAGCCAGACCCCGAGGAGCCTAGCTCAGGCCTTGTCCTGGGTTCAGCCTCAGAGGCACAGGATAAAGAAGCTGAGACCACAGTGATGGTCTCGTACAGATGGGTAAACTGAGTCAGTGGCAGAGTCCATGGATCATTCCTCTTACAGCCACACCGTTGGGTGACAGGAGACCTCAGCCTCCGTGTGCAGAGAGGAAAACAAGTCCCAGAGTCATATGACGGCCATATGGCAACTGGAGCCGTCCTTCCAACTCCTGGCCTGTCCCTCTTTCTGCCCCCTACCCTGACAGACTGCTCAGAGCCATTCTGGAAACTTCTGGAGGATGTCCCTTCCCTTCTTGACACCAAGGAGCTCCTGCCTGCCTTTGGTTTCTTTGACTAGTGGCAATGCGGGGAGGGAGAACCCGAGATAGCTCTCCGTCCCTGGGACAGCAAAATCAGCAACAGGGGACTCCAGGCTGAGGCCATCACCAGCACAGGATGTCCTGGCAAGACTGCCCAGCAGTTAGTGCTGGTCAGAGGGGCTGACCTCCAGGCCCCCATGGCTGTGAGCAACACTGGGGACAAGCAGGGCCGGAAGCCCCACTCCAGGGGGGGGCCTGGTCTCAGAGGAATAGGAAAGGCGAACTCCATGGAAATCCAGACCCAGGAGTGGGGGTGAGGGTGGGATCTGCTCTCCCACCCTGGACAGGACTTTGGAGGCAGACTCCCAAGGGCTCCTGGGGGCACACCCCTGGTGGTGAGGGTCCCAAGAGAAAGGCTTTCCACCAGGGATGGAGCGAAGGGGCGGGGGGGTGGTGAGGCTGACCAGAGCTGAAGGGCAGGGATCACGTGGCCATAAGCCAGCCTTGAGCCCAAGGGCCCCGAGAGGCGCCGCGGCTAAAGATGGGCCAGGCTCTTGAATGGAAGATGCCAGATGAGCTGGCCGGCAGCCAGGCTGCTGCAGACAGGTCGCGATGCAGCATCGGCAGTGAAGGGTGATGGTGAGCCAAGGGCACGGGGATGCAGAGCCAGGCCGGAGGGCAGAGTGACCAAGTAGGAAGCAGAGAAACAGGTGGATCAGGGAGGAGACCTGAGCTATGGGAGCATGGCGAGTCATGACCAGGTGCCAGGGACCTGACAACCCACCGTCCTCACCCCGGAGGTCCAGACCACCACACTCTGTTCTCCCAAGGATGCCTACCCCCCACCTGGGTCCTCACTACAACCCCTAGCTCGGAACATCTGATCCTTGCGCTTGAGAGGCTTAACGAGTACACAGCCATCTCTTAAAGGGCCCGTGGACACATCTGCCCGTGCCTGCATGAGCAGCAAACACCTGCGAGCCAAGTGTGCACTCTGGGCTCCAGTGCACATGCCTATGCCGGGTCTTCCATCCCAGGGGCTGCCCACAGTGAATCAGCGTGAACTTGGTGGTGGCGGGGGGGGG